AACCAGAGGACATCATCCTGGCAAAATGCTCATTATCAAACTATTCAGCAACAGCTCCCAAAACCCGGCATCTGAGAACCGATGTTATGGTTACTAATATCACTAAAAGCAACTTAAAATAAGACTTATCTGAAGCTGTCCAGCTAATGGATCTTCTTACACATTTGCCTGTTAGCTTGGGAGACTATTTTATAAAGTGCACTTACTGAAGGTGAATCAATGTGTCGGATTTCTTTGCACGGCCGTGCTCTGTTAACTGCTGCACAGGGGTAAGGGTACCTGCATCTGCCTGAGCGGGTCACCTGGGCCAGCCTCAGTACTGCTCTGACATGGACTGACACGGACTGCTCCTCATTACTGACACACCTCCTGGTCTCTGAGACTTCTGTAAACTTAATGAGTGACATTTTTATTTCCTCTTCCGTGTCATTAATAAGAACGTTAATAAAATACAGCAGCAGAATTAATGCAAGAATGACCTCACCACAATAATAAGAAGGTACTGATGTTTTTCTAATTCCTTGTTGAGAATCATCAGTTTTTTAAAATTTCTTTTAATGTGACATTTAGCTTCCACATTACTCCTGGCTTCCTGGTCAGAATATGTAACTGTGTAAAAGCAAATCAAGTCACCTTCTTGACTGAGGATATGATCCCTCTTGTCAAAGCTGAGCATGACAAACTTGTCTTTTACAACGCATGTCCGTTAGAAATTCTAACGTCTCTTTATTTTTAAATTTTTTATTAATGAAGTCTGGTGTCAATTATTCAACTGTTTTGCCTGAGATCAGAGCTAGGCGACCTGGATCTCATCAAACGGGTCATTCTGTTTATCCCATCAATAATGACACACTGTTTTTTTCCTACTGGAGTACCAAAAATGATTCAAAGAATGCTGATAAAAAAGAAACATTATGAAAATTATCATTTACTAAAGGTTAACTTTAGGTTCTGAAGTTACAGCTAACATTTTCCTGGGTTTCTTGTCATCTGAAAATAATTTTATTACTATCAGAGATTCTGAATTTGATAACCTGGCTTTTTCTTCTAACATGGAATAGAAATGCTACTAGTCACCCCTCTTTTTCTATATAACTTGATAGCTCTGTTATTTCTAAATAACAATGAGATTCAGATTTACACTGAGCTGACTGTAGTTTTAAAACTCCTTCTCCATTTCCTGATGAAAAAGAAAGTATAATTTTTCATGTCGTTGCAAAACACAAGTGTTGCCAGAAGTATGCATTTTAAAACAGTTTGTATTTGAACACAAGTTGCCTGTGTTTAGAGCCTACAATCAACACTGAGAAAAAAATGCAAATGGGAGATTGTCTGCACTGGATCAGACCACAGGCCAGCATGGTGTCTCCAGCAGCAGTCAGAAGTAGACCTCTGGGGAAGAGTACGACTGCTACTCCCAGTACTGCACAAGTACAACAAACACTGTTTTGAGGGGGGAAATATATATATATATTTCTGCACTTATGTATCTACGTGAACACAGAAAGCACACACATATATATATATATATATATATTTGCACATATACACACACTGAGACACTTCTGTGCTTATGGCTGCGATAGGGATTCACGTTCCCAAAGTCTGCGGGTATCTAGCTCTCAACTATCCCTTCCCAGTTTCCCAGAAGGATAATATAAAGGACTGGAATATTTGCTCTTCATTGCAGTCTGGTGTAGCAGACTGTATTCAGATGAAGATTTGACAGGAATGAGCTTCACCTCTCTCTAGGTTGCAAAGCTCAGTGCTAGGAGGCAGAAGGGCAGTGAAAGTTAAGGGGTTTCTTGCAGTACTCACCGAGCTGTTTCCCACTGCTGAACGTGACTCGTTATTCACTGGATTCTTTGGTACAGCAAATTCTGGTTTCTTAATTTTTATGTCAGGTTTGTTTTCTTTGGCATGTGGCTTATCCTCAGATCCAGCAGGACGTGACTTCTGTGAGGATGGCACCTGTGCAAGTGCTGACGGGGATGGGTTGACATACTCATCTTCTTCCCTGAGCATCTGTGGAAGCCCTGTGGCATTCGTTTTAACATAATAGCCATGGTAATGACCATGCAGCTCCCCGTTCTCTGTGCTGGTGGGATTGTGATGGGCTGAAAACTTTGGCTGGTGTTTCACAGCTATTTCCTCCTTCACGGGAGCTTTTGAATATAAAGGCTTGTTAATTATGGGTGTTATATTCTCAGTGGCTAAAAGCATTTTTTCTTGACTGGATCTTGTCTCAGAACTAGAGGTTTGCTTTTTCAGCTGTTTTGAAGGAGATGGCTCAGAAGAAAGAGGACTATGTCTTGGACTTGCTTCTGGGGTTCGAGGGGGTGTAGTACCTTTTCGATAAAAGTGAGGTGACTCTTTTGGGGTAGGCAGATTTTCCTGAACTTTTTCTTCAGATTTTTCTTTCACCTCTACTCCTTCTTGAAATTTTTGCTTGATATAATCAGGACCTGAAAAATAGTGTAACAGAAATATTGTGATCAAAACAAACAAAAAAAGACTTCACAGTAAAACTATTGCATTGGGATGTCAAACTGGATTGCCTTGTTAAAGTGCTGTCAGGGGTGGGTGTCTCCAAATATCCACTGACATCTGCAGTGATTGAGTCTAAATTGCTCAGTAGCTGGAGTACTGTTTGGTAACTGCTGGGAATACTTACTAATTTGGTTCAGTCACTTTATGTCTTCAGCTTTGCAAAGAGTCATAGGACATAAACTGTCTCTGAGTGAAGACTGGGGGACTCAGTACTAACTTAGCTTATGTATCTATCATTCATTCTTTTTCTGAGAGGCATTTTTTGATGTACGTTTTACTTCATTACCCTAATCTACCTAACTTCTACCCTTATGATCATAGTATCTCTTTGACACGGAAGTAATTAACCATCAGAATGAAACATCTCTTCTGCCCTTATAATCTACAGGAAATACGGCCAATAACTTTTTTCCCCTTTGTGTGCATATTACCTTGTCTTATATACACATACATGTGCCTTAAATTCTTACACACTGGCTTCGTCTTCCTAATACAATCACTTACCATATGAAGACTCAGGTTAACCACTCTAGCCAGTAACTCAATTCTACTTAGAAGCTAGGAAGACAGATTTGCTCACATTCATTAGGGAAATACTTACAGAGCAGATTGTATGAAGATGTCTGACCCCAAATCCTAGATAAACACCCCTGGCACGTTCACTGCCAGGACTGACTTAACAAGGTGCATCTCTATGCAGCTGCCTACACAAAGACAATCTGGCCGAGATGCTTTGCTCCAGGCTTTGGTTGTATGATTTAACAGTTCAGTGCTAAGATTTGAACAAACACCCTGCTGAGGAAATAAAATCGCTGCAAATTTGTCTGTATTGTGGGCAGCTTTTTCTGTTTTTATTCCTAGAGGCCACACTCCAGACTCAGGGATTGGATCCCGTAAGAGGGCAGAACCTGGGGAGCTCTATGAACAAAGACCTGCAACAGTCTTTCTGTCTGTTCACTAATGGCTTCTGCCAAATACATTGCAACTGTTTCTCTACTTCTACGTTTGCTAAGCAGAAGCAAAGATGGACGTTAGAACCACTTTTTTTTGACTTTTTTTTTTATCTTTTGTAAATGAGGCTTATCTGTGGTGTATGTCATAGGCAAATCCTATGCCCAGAGAAAGCACGTCTGCAGACATGTCTCTGCTTTTGAGTGTGCAGGAGGCTCTGGCTGTGCTAGGCAGATCCAGTGTTTTTACAGATGGCAGAAGCATATGCATCACCACCCAGTGCTAAGATGGGAGGAAGGAAGAGCAGCACGAAGTTCCTGGAAGTTCTGGAGTCATCTGGTAAGTAAGCACTGCTGAGAGGAATTACTTGTCATGCAGTGTCTTTTGAGCAGGAAAATCACATTTTTGGCATCTCTGAAAACCAGTGGTAGAAAGAGGGAGCTGTTAAGAAAGAAGGCTGGATGTAGACAAGCCAGGATTTTTCTCCAATGACATTAGAGGAGGAAGCTTTGAGGAGTTCAGCTTGCAGAGGACTAGAGGCTTGGTTCTTATGGCTTTTTATAATCTTCCTGGTGAACAGGAAAGGCAGCACAACACGACGGAGAGGCTGCCCTGTATAAAGTTACAGTTACAATCACCATTTGCAAAATTCTCCATCACGTAGGGCATTTCCTTCCATCTTTGCTGAGATGCATAAGGTAATGCTGAGGTATTAATCAGTATTAGTATTACCTATATAAATAGGTAATTAATAGTATTATCTTAATGAGGTATTAAGGTAATAATCTCAATATGCATAAACTTTGGGTTTCTTCTCTTTCCACATGGGGTGTAATTAGGAGTGTGAAAAGAAAAGGATAGCTACAAGTTCTCTGCCTAACCTTTAAGCCCAAGCCATGGAGCTGTCAAATTGCAATTATTATTTATTAAGGACACATCCACACTCACATTAGCTCACGTATTACGACTGCTGTGGTGAAAGCATCCCAGCCAAAATACCATTTATTGGGCCTTACAGCGCTGCTCAAGTGGCACCTGATCTGTTCCTCACCTATCTAGAAACTTCACACCCTGGGACAGCTCTCCACTCACCAATGCATGTCAAGATGTGACTTTTACTATTATTTGACAGCTCCTGACAGACTGAAGGCACTTTCATAAGGAACACATCTGGGCCTCAGAAATGTCAACTCTTCACTGTTCCCTATGACCAAATTAAAAGCCTCCAGAGGCTAGGCAGAGGGACCCCCTCTCCTCCCAAGAACTCCACACTCTGTCAGAATGGAAAACAGAATGAAGCCAAGTTTTAGCTGCTCATGTCTGCATGAGACTGGCAGAATGAAAAACAAATCTACACGAAAACAAAAACCAAACCAAACTCATCTTTCACAGGCACTTCCCAAAGAAGTTAAGTGTCAACAGGCTAACAATGACATATTTTTACAGGCTGTCTGGCAATATTTGGTGCTAAGTGACACTGCCCCAGCAGAGAAAACTGTAGCCATCTCCACCCAAGTAATGTCTCAGGGTGTCTGACCAGACATCCAGCAATTGCCTTAACCTGACAGAGCAGCCCTCCCTCCCCCCAGTACACAACATATGGCTACTCGAGCCACAATCCTCTCCTCCGGTCTTGACAGGCAGGTCTCTCCACACAAATTCTCAGCTCTGTGCTGAAGCTACCTTTGGAGGCTGCCCAAACCCTTTTTTTTTTTTACATCTGTTCACTGTATTCAATACCAGCTGAACCACTGGCTCCACGCAGCAAGAACACGGCTCCTCCTTCTGAGGACCAAGAACACTTGTCCCCTTTGTTTAAAGGCATTACCTAACACAACAGACATAGGCAGCAGAGTCCTGTTTCTTCATCACAATAGCACTCTACAGCATGAGCTTGAAAGAACCAGGACCAAGAGACTTAGAAAAGGGAGTCACTAAGATCTGATCCTACAACATTTCTCAGTTGCCTGATCTTAATAAGGAAGAGAATAGGATTTTGAGGGTGGGAAGAAGGTAAAGTGGGATTATCTGTCTAGGAAATAAACATGGAGTTTTGTTCTTCAGTTTACAGTCCAAGCAACCGGTAGAAATATTCCCAGACATTTTATGTCTGAGTGCCTAAGGAGAACCTGGTCTGGAAAGCAGAACCAAGAAATGCTTTCTAACCAAGTAAAGGTAAGCCTTCCTTGTGGATAAACTGTGTGGATAAACCTGTGTGTTTTCTTAGTGACATGCTGGCCTTGCACGTCACTACAGTTAAAAATTGATGCACCTTTGCTGGCTGAAGGTCAGCCAGGGGCAGTTTTGCCTCACAGAGCCGTTGTGATGCCAGCAGTTGGATTTCACCATTAAACCATGTTTTAGCCAGTATTTGAGGTGCAATACTCTCTGAAAGCTAAAGGACTGTGTAGACGTGTGTGATATATGCACACAGAGTCTCACACTGTCTGCTAGTCTGCTTGGATGGCTATGAGGTGAGGGAAGCTTTGGTTTGGTTGCAGACACACTCATAGCTGTTCTAAATCCAGAATTTCTTGTAGAGTTCTTGTGTAACATGCCCTTTCTCCTGGAAGGGCTCCAGTAAGTGATGTGACAGCATGGCCAGCCTTGTAAATGAGAAGAGAAGGGTACCTGGTTCTGCCACAGCCTGTTTTAGAGAGGTGACAGCCACATGCTTTCCCCCATGGCCTGGTGATGTACACACACTGGCAGCATGGGGCTGTTTCAGGATTGTATATATACAAGCTTCAGGTTATAGTCCTGACTATTCAAAGCCAGTTTCATGGATTTTTGGCTTCTTTACAACGAAGAAAAGATGTGGTCACAGGAAAAGGGTGGGACACTGAGGATGAGTTCAGGAAGTGTCGAAGGCACTAGGATTCCCTACAGTAGGGCTTGTGATCCTTCGAGGAGCAATTCTGAATCTCATAGTCAATATGCATAACTGAGTCACCTGCTATAAATCTTGTTTTTGTAATTTAATGACCTTTAGGCTCATTTTGGTATAATGATTTCTATATTCTCAAAATTAAGCTAATACTTCTAACTGACAGAAAGGATTTCTGTAACAACACATCAAACAAAAAAATGCTTATATTTTGTAGCAGGACTACAGGACAACATATTTTCAAATAATATAAGAACACTTCTGCTGCAGTTTTCTAATATTATAAATTAACAGAATTGTTAGCAATTTACAGAACTAACATATACTAGAATATAGATTTTAAAATAGTATTATGTGAATGAAAATAGCCTATATTCTAGTACATTTTAGATCTGTCTAGCGCTGTTTTCTTCAATAGTTAATCCACTGCTGCCTACTCTTTTGCAACTTTCCATGTATTCCTGTGAGACCTTGGACACATTATAACACCTTACTTGGTCTACATGTAAAAAGAAGGTGTGCAGTGGACACTCAGGTTTAAAAGGTTTTTTTCTGAACCCAAGCTGTTTCAGATAGTGAGTTCTCTTGGTATCAACAATCTTCACAAGAAACGTTTTCACAGTTCCAGAAGCATTGCTTCTTAAAGGGAAAGCTCTGGCAAACTCCACTAGGACTCTGCTAGAAACTCCACTCTCTGGGAGCAGCAAGAAAGCTTTGGGAGAGCAGGTTTCTCAGAGCTAAGCTGGAGACACTATGCAGTAGAGAGAAGAGCCTCTCACCATACGACAGGAGATGCCTGTCACTGCAGCCCTGGACTCCTATGCAATGGAAGGAGGCTCCTGTGAGACCCTACAGGTAAGCACAGGCTATAGGAGTCTAACAATCTTGTCACCTGGGTGTCTCCTGTCCTCATGGTGGGTCGGTACTCCCAGTTGTGAACTGGTTGGCTGCTGCACAAGATCCTCCTTCACCTTCTCTCCTTCCAGTTTGTGAAGGTGCAGCCACAACCTTTAAATCAGATAAATGTGATTTGCATGGAAGGTGCTGTAAGTATACACCCTGTGCAAAAATGATAAA